GGCCCCAGCATGACAAAATATAAAACAATTCTAAAGAGAAAACCTACAGCCTGATTTAGGAAAAAACAATAAAATAAAAACATTATATAACCATCCACATCCAATGAATTACAGGCACCTGCCTCGAGGAAGGCACATAATGAATAAACAAAGAAATAAGATATTTCATTTAGCTTTTTTTTTTCTTCAAGTTTTCAATTTTTAATTTTTTTCCAATTAGGCTATAGAAACACTGTTGTTTCCCTGAATACACCTTAGCTGATTGTTATGTGTACTTCATTACAGGATATTGCAGATATTTCAATTTTGATGTCACACAAGATAATGCCAGGCACCATAGTACAAAAGTGATTGCTGTATGATGTCAACAGCATACAGGTCAAGTGTCGAAAAATTTAATGTGTCACTTATGTGTCACGGAATCCCTCAAGGCAATAAGGTCTACTGTGTAATGATATCCAATGTATTTTAACTTTGAACTTGTTATAATTGTAAGGGGTCCCACTTTTCTGAAATGTGGACCAGGTTAATTACTAGTCTCAAACATCAACAGGTAACGTGCTCTGACAATAATTATTAATACTTTTCTTCATCTAAGGTTGTTGAAATCTTCTTTCCCTGAAAGAATTTCCCCAGAAAGAATTATTTCCTGTAGTGTCTTGATTAAAAAAATTTAACAGACTAATGCAAATGAATCTGACTTTTATAATCAGAGCTGACAGAGGACAAAGTCCTCATTAAGGTAGAACAATCAATTTACTAATGAATCCAAAATAGATAATTTTCTATTTTTTTCTTTTTAGCAAATGTACATAAATATTTTCAGGTTTTTTCTAATAAAACATCATAAAGGAGTATATGATGAATGTAGGACAGAAAGTCACAGGACAAAAAGTCACAGACAAAAAGTCACGGACAAAAAGTCACAGGACAAAAAGTCACGGACAAAAAGTCACAGGACAAAAAGTCACAGACAAAAAGTCACGGACAGAAAGTCACAGGACAAAAAGTCACAGACAAAAAGTCACGGACAAAAAGTCACAGGACAAAAAGTCATAATTCAGTTTCGAGATTATATTTCTTCAAACAAGAAAACACTAATTTAAAATTTTTTTTTTTTTTTCTTGAACTATTATATATGAAGCAACCTTGTAATTAAAATTTATTCAATAAATATCAATAATGATTAAATAATTGTTATGAAAACAAAATGTCAAAGTGGCTTGGTACTTATATGGCTTCATTGTGCCAAGAAATATATCCTTTGCATGATTAAAATTTAATAAATTTTCATTTGTCAAGGCTTATGAACAATTTCCTAAACTTAAAAATGAATATATGTAATAAAAAGAAAAATATTTCAAGATATTTCTTTTATATATTCAAACAATTGTCAACAAATTATTTGTGACTTTTTGTCCCATCAAATTTGTGACTTTAAGTCCTGTGACTATTTGTCCTGTGACTTTCTGTCCATTTACCTACATGATTACCTTAAAATGTGTATATCTGATTAAAAAAAAAGAATGAAGGCAATTCTAGTTCATATAAGGACTTTTTCTCTTTGAAAGGTAATGCTTGCTTTAAATAAGTGTTTTTGAACTCATACCAAAGTTTCTTCAAATTAAACTGAAGCTTTGACAAATTATTATATTATTCCTACGAAAATTGTTTTTAAAGTTAATTCTTATCTGTTTGTATGGGAGATAACTGTACCAAAGATAAATATCATGGTGAAAAAGTGGATTAATGGGAAATAACTCCTTCAATGATAAATACCATGGTCAAATGATGAAATAATGGGAGATAACTCTTCCAAAGATAAGCTTCATGGTAGAATAATGGGAGATAACTCTGCCAAGGGTAAATATCATAATGGAATAAGGGGGATAACTCTTCCAAAGATAAATATGGTATAATGATGAAATAAAGGGAGATAACTCTTCCAAAGATAAATATAATGGTGGAATAATATCAACGGAATAATGGGAGTTAACTCTTCCAAAAGGTAAATATCATGATAAAATAATGGAACAAGAATTACAATATCAAAAGTGGAAAGCACAAACATTACAATTATTGTCAAAAATATAACCTGAATTGGAACATTAAAGTGTTCAAACAAAATCACATGGTCATGTGATATTCCAATAGTATTCAAATATCTTCTGGTTTCCTGCTTCTATTGTGAGTTAACTATAATACTTTATTTACTGCTTAGGGCAGTTCACTTTGGTGTCATCTTTGCATACACCAATTATGCATAACTTAACATTTACTATTTTGTACTGTTTATATACATTTCAGGTATCAGTCATCCTTATAATCAAAAATATATAACTAGGAAGATTGACATTCATTTAAAGCAGACACATAAAATGCAATTAATTTAAGCAAGTTTAGGCAGTTTTCATGAAAATTTATCATTAAGAATGAGTATTATTTGTAGGATTAAATCAATAACATCTAAAATGCCAGAAAATATATAATTTTATAAGTACTTGCTACAAAACAGAAGACAAGTCAGCTTTTCTGTTTCTAAAGATCTAACAAATTAATTTTATATTTTCCTACATGTACATATATTATGCATATATACATGTATCTACATGTATCAAAGTTCTTGAAAAGTGATTGTCCGAAGGTTTTGACCACTAAATTTTGCAAAGGACCGACATAATTTTGTTATTTCGCAAAAGAAATAATAGTGAGGACCAGCAGATTTACTTCAAGGACCACCAGGGAAAAAAGATTTTGAGACCTCTGATCTATACAGATTATGGAGAGCGTGGCCTAAAGTACCTACAGGTAAACATATTGACACATACTGGAACATATTGTTTTAATATTTTCATATTTTATTGAAATCTGCACATTTGTTAATTGAAGACACAGGAATATCATACAAGTGCATGTCAAAAGAGAATGTGGACGCAGTATTGTGCTTATCATAGTGATTTCATAAATATTCAAACAAGAAAACATATAATTGAGACTGGAAAAAAGTCAAATTTTAGAGCTAAACCCTATTATGTTCTAATGAGATCTAAGCAAAAATCTGTTGATGCAATTCCAAAATTTCTGGTCTAGAAGAAGTCGATAAAAAAACAATCCCATTCAAATTGAAGAAAACTTATGTACAAGTGTAGTATGTTAAAGTACAATTTAAAATCTATTCATGAAATGCTTGTGACATTCATATGACAATTACATATATTACAGCTTCTAGATATATCACCTTCGTAGTAACACAAAATCATACTCAAATACCATGGTAATTGCTATATAATTATCTTAATAATTCAAAATTCAGTGAATGAGAGATGTCTTTTTTCATCAAGTTAGAACATATGTAAGCAATAATACATACACAATCGTTTCAAGTGTGAAATACAAGCTAATGTAATAGAAAGCAAATTACTTTATAAGTCATTCCCTTCATTTTCATCTCTTTGTGAATCAACATATCACTTCATGTCATATTTTCAATAATAATTGTGTAGATTCTCTATAGATTTATTGACTCTATAAAGAAATGTGAAAATATTGAGGCTTGCATGAAGGAGAAAATAAATTGACTTAAAACAACTCAATTCTGAATTATTTTCTATATTTGATAAAAAATAAAATTGTTGTCTATGAGGAACATTGAAGAAAATTTCCTAGGACTACTTCTCTACTGGTCGTTTACTGAGTTATATGTGGATCTTGGGCACTAATTAGACTTCATGTTTGACAAAAAGTTAGTGTATGACGGAGGTTATTCAATGTCAGCATTCTGCTCCAATCAGGAATTTTATATAACATGGTGATGCTTTTCAGATTATCTGGTAAAATCCTAAATAAATATTGAGATATTTGATCAAATCCTTAATTCTTTTGAGATTATCTGATTAATTCCCAAATACTTTGAGATATTTTATTAAATCTCAAACTCTTTGAAATAATCTAATTAAATCCTGATTTTTTTGTGTGATTATTTCATTACAAAGCAGCTAAGCATTTTTTTTATTACCAAACTTCACCAAAATTCATCAAAATAGCTACAAGTATTGCAATAAAAGAAATGCATTTCGGATGGTATGATTTACAACATAAAATAAATGACTATCTGGTTACCAATTACCTCCCCTTAATGGTCTAATCTTTAAAATCTTTTCAAAAGTTAGCTCACAATCTTGCTATCTGCAATAGTTGTGTTTCTTTAAACCCAACTATATGATTCATATGTATATTCTAATGAGCTTTGCAATCCAAAAAAAAAATAAAACATGTGGATTGCCCACTGATGTGTCTGCCACAATATTGACAGAAAACTTAAACAATTACATTAAGTTTTATCAAATATGCAATCAGGTTTTAAATGGGACAAATTATTGTTCATCTTCCCTATACTGCCCACATTCAATATGTTGAATATTCCAGTTGTCTCTCATTGATATTATATCCTTTTTTTCCTGTTATGGTTTGGAAACAAAGTGGGCAAAAATCATTTGTAATAGATATATTTGTTTCATGTTCAAATAAATTTACATTGACTCAATTTCACCAATCAATTCATCATTTGTAATAAATAAATTTCTGGATTTTTAAAACACTTACAAAAGTGTAAATATTATTCCTTTCTAATATATCAAAAATATATATAATTCAGCAATTTTATCTTCTTTTAACGAAATAAGTCCAATCTATGATTTTACTCTAGCATTTTTTAGTTAATTATCATGCTAAAAGTCTCTAAGTGTCATCTATCTCTCACATATACAGAATAGCTATTAGACGAAGAAATGTTTCAGTAATATGACAGTAATGCTTCTAGCTCTATACGTACATATTCAGGGACGATAACTTCTTGTCCTCACTGTCGCCCTGTTATTATGTTTTGTGGTCTCCATTTGTTTCATCTAACCAATAGTTTCGATCATTTGGATTTGTTTTTTTAAAAAAGACGCTTTGTAAAGAATATATGAATGAATATATGTCATGAACCTGTAACTTACCTGTTTTTCTGTATCTTTCCCTTTGACTGCCGCAGGTGTCAGTACACGTTCGCAGTAGCTTCCTTCAAGGAGCGCAACCCCTGACGGCCTCACTGATTGGTCGTTTTCAAAATACAGTAAAAGATTTTGGTAAAGTATAAAATAACGCAATTGCCACTTTCCTGTATCGGAACTTTTCTTGTGTAAAAATCCTGCCATAGTATTTTCTTGGCGCGATTTGTTTGCCAAGTATAATAGCTGGTTTTCGTTGAATCTTATAGCTTTCTGCATGGTTAATACTTTTTAAGCAGCAAAACATTAAAAGCTGAATTTACACTATATTACCATTACAAAAATCTCGCTGTTCTAATTAAGATACATGCATATAAAATCCTGATCATAAAACATTCTGCAGCAGACGTTCTAATAACAAACGGCAACCTTTAATACACATTTCATAAATATACATTTAATAGTTCTTTGTTGAGAATAAACAAATACACAAAAAGCTTCGCCAACTTTAATTTCCCCACATAATCATCATTTTCCTCTTAGTTCCTAATTAACATATTCTCTGTCTTATATACATATAAATAAGTGATAAAAAGTAGAATTTATATCGATTCACATTATTAAAGCTTCATTTTTGTCGGAAAATAAACACTGTATTTTTCCATTACTTCCACTTTCCATTTTAATCTCATCACCGCAATTAACATTTCTAAGATTTCTGCAATTTCTGATTAGATTGCTTCACGGAAAATGTCTCCTCTGTCCGCAAAAAAATTACATATTTTTCCAGCTAAACTTTTTTTTCCAGTTACAAAATAATCTATTGACACAGACAAAAATATGCTGTTGCTGTTAATTTTTTGTCATTGTCATATTGTAGTCTGGCGCGGCGGTAAGAATTATCTTGAAAGAACATGGCTCTGTGCGTAATATGTCACTATCGTTTATGAAATAAAAATTCACCTATCTTACCCTGATCGATGATAGAAGATAATAACTTTGGAATCATCCACATGTTATACAAACACAAACAATGGATTAAATAAATAAATTGTTTAAGCGCTAATGATCAAATTTTCACCTGAGTCCAAGCAAAGTTATATGACATTTTCTCCATTTGTTACGCAGCTGCCGAAGAAAGCCTATGTATAGATATTTTTGCTAATTCTCCAATGAATATCTGATAGGCCAATTATTCTACCGAATTAACATACAATGCATTAACTGTCGCTATTGACAACTAATTCAGAAATACGTTTTTTTTTCTTATAGAAAATTCCAGAAATATATAAAAATCATATACATAAGATTTTTAAATTTTATGAAAAATCCTATCTTATTTTCCAGTTTACATTTTTCTTTAAGGCTTATCAAGCTCATTTTTTACCATAAGACTTCTGAAATTTTCATGCAGCAGGCGATCACGAGATTTGCAAAGAAAAATGTCACATGACGTGAAATTACATTAAAATTAACCGCGGGGACAAAAATATATAAACGCTACCTCACCGTTCACAAAATCAATATCTCGCAACATTGTTTAGCTTGGTAGAACGTGTTGTAGCAGTATGTTACAACAAATAGATACATAAAGCTATACAGGATCACTTGCTTGTTAAACCTTTTGTTCATTATTGCCACAAATTTTATAAATCCATGAACAAAATCAATATTTTGAAAAATTATATACATTTCCTTCAATTTTTAATGACGTTGTCTCTGAACACGAATCATGATACGCACAGTAATAGTATTTGACTGAAAATAAATAAATAATCTACTCAGTTGTTCATTTTATAATCCGAAAACTAATATTTCTGCATCTGTATTCAAAAATTTTCATCATTAGTATATGTATATTTTTCTTTCTCTTTCGATTGAGACATAATAATCAAAAATAATCTATAGCGAAGAAAACTAAGAGGGGACAAAATATACAAAAAAAATATTGTAAAATGTGATTAATTTATACCAGTTCTCAAGTCCTTTTTTAATCTTTTAGGTTAGAAAGCCTTAGATATTTTATCTTTATTAATTTTAATTGTTTTCTGACATAATAACTAACTTCAGATGGGAGAAAACTAATTTCAAAATACAATGCAGATCAAGTATCCGTCATCTGAATATTATTATTCACTCAAAATCTGATTGGGTAGATTCGCTAGAGTAAGTTTTCAACTTTTATTTGATAATCTTCCAATATTACTGTTCGGTCACCAGTGAACGAGAAAGATTTTTAGCCCTTTTGTTCCAATTACATTACTTGAAGAAACCAAACCCTATACATATATCTGTAACATTAATTAAACTCAGATGTGGTATTTAATATGTAGAACAAACAGAACGTGTATTTTTTCAAACAGACACATTGACAATTGAACTACAAAATAGTCCGTCCCTTCTCACCTTCAAAAATTATTTCAAATGTAAACGTGAAATTAAGCCTGTATTTTAATATTGTGGTTCCCGTTCTGGTCAAATATACCGTACAAGAATAAGAATGAACTGTAGCGGACTCAACAAACAACTCTATGACAGAAACTTGAGACAATCCTCAAAGTGTGTTTGTGAAGAAACAGAAGCAACGGAACACTATTTACTAAAATGCAAAAGATTCAATGTACCTCGTCCAAGATGCATACATAATATAGGAATTCCTATCAGAATTTCTACTTATGTTTTACTTTTTGGCTCCGATAGACTAACAGTAGATAAAAATAAATGTTTATCCACAGCTGTGCAAATTTTTGTTATGAGTAGCAATTGATTTACACCCACAATCTAATAATTCTATTCACTCAGTTCACTCCTCTCTTATAAAGAAATATTGTCCCTTTCTGTAATAACAGTACTCTCATTTTTCTAAACACCTTTACCCTCTCCTTTGCTATTTTTTTTATATATAACAACTAATAATGAATTTTCTTTATATCATTTGTATTCATTGACTGTATTTTGTAACATACATATTCGTTTGCTATTCAGCATGTAAACATAGTTTTTATTTTTGAATTTTTTGGAGACGGATTTGTATAAGAGCACTGCTCTTTTTCCCATTTCCAATTATTGAATTACTTGTATATTTCGTATTTATTTACTCTTGTAGCTAAACATAACGATTTCCTTAAAAAATATGTTTACACTAACACACAAACATGTGCAGACCCAAGAAAATACAAAGAATTGGTTTGGATGTTTGACTGTACCTGTAGAAAATTTATTATAAACGGAATAGCACATTCATATATTTACGGTGATGTTGTTTATCGAGCCCACAAATTCAGATAAAATCCGGTAAACTTAATGATCCTTTAAATAAACTTTTTCTAAAAGGTTACCAATTTCACACTGTAATTAGATATTTTATCGATCGGTATATATATATCGATTTGTTATCAGTAAATTAAAACCCAACTAAATATTATTGCAATATATACACCTATGAACAGTCACGGTCCTACATTCTGTCGATACGTACAATTTGGCACTCTGTCTGTAAATGGCATCTTTATATATTGGGTGTGTATTGATTGATTGTACATAAATCAGACCGTTAGTTTTCTCGTGTGAATCGTTTTACATTTGTCATTTCGGGGCCTTTATATCTTGCTACGCGGTATGGGTTTTGTTCATTGCTGTAGGCCATACGATGATCTATAGTTGTTGACTTCTACGTCATTTTGCGGAAAGTTGTCGCATTGCCAATCATACCACATCTTCTTATGTTATAGAACAATCACATATAAAATTTGAAGATTCTTATCAAATATGCAAGCTGTATTGGATTAAATGAATGTTGTTGATAAAAGAAACTGTAATCACGGGTCTTATGGCAAATATTCATGTATCAATCTTAAAATAATACTTCAACATCGATGTAACTTTACGCTTGATGACCCTCTTATCCATATTTAAGCACAATGACCGACACCAATTAGTATTCAAACTAAATAAAATACCAATTAACAAATTACACAATATATTCACAGAGTGTGATACATTATCTTTTTTCAGTCCACACAATGAATGTACGCGCATCATTTCAGCCCGTTTTGTCAACGTATGCTGTATTCTCGGATCAATGAACCTGCAAATTTTGAAATTATTTTCTTTTAGAAGATATTATATATATTAAAGGTATTGTATATATTAACTTAATGACTATCGCTCGAAACTTTATATCTTCCTAATTTGACAACATAGAGTCCCTTAGATGTACCGTTTCGTAAACGTATGGAAATTAAGCAGGAGCAGTATAATTTAAATTATTCGCCCGTTACATAAGAAGTCAATACAGAAAATAATTCTCCTACAAAATGAGACAGAGAAAACTCCAAGTTTATATTTTATTTCTGTATTCGTGTTATCACATGGGACCACAGCATCGTTCATTATTATATGACTATAAATCTTCTGTTTTTTCATTGGCTAGAATATAACGAATCATCTCTTGTAAAACATTATAATCCCCGCTTTGGCTGTACCTGTAGAAATTTTACTACAAACAAATTATCACATAGTAATTCTTATGTTAGTAACAGAGCCCGTGAAAAAGTCAATTAACAAAAATACAGAACTCCAAGGAAAATTCAAAACGGAAAGACCCTTATCAGATGACAAAATCAAAGCTCAAACGCATCAAACGAATGGAAAACAACTATCATATTCCTGACTTAGTACATGTAGAAAATGGTGGATAAAACCTGGGTTTATAGCTAGCTTAACCTCTCACTTGTATGACAGTCGCATAGAATTCCATTATATTGACAACAATGTGTGAGCAAAACAAACAGACATAATAGGTAAAATTTCAAAAATTGGGGTATAGCAGTCAACATTGTAATATAATTTTTAATCACTAGAAAACAAATAACTATTTCAGCAAAGAAAAACAAATTGAACTTTCATTACCGTGTAAACCCACCATTAGATATGATCCATGCAATTTATCCACTTCCTTTTTCACCACGAATATGACCTACCGAATTAGAATATTTCCCGGATTTGTAATAACATGAGCAACACGACGGGTGCCACATGTGGAGCAGGATCTGTTTACCCTTCCGTAGCACCTGAGATCACCCCCAGTTTTTGGTGGGGTTCGTGTTGCTTAGTCTTTAGTTTTCTATGTTGTGTCTTGTGTACTATTATTTGTCTGTTTGTCTTTTTGTTTTTGGCCATGGCGTTGTCAGTTTATTTTCGATCTATGAGTTTGACTGTCCCTCTGGTATCTTTCGCCTCTCTTTTATTGATCATTTGAGTAAATTGTTATCATTTTAACACTGAGTAAGATCTATGAAAACTTTTGTTGTCTTAACCAATACTTACATAGATTTTGTGTTTAATAATTTTGAATCATAACTAAATATTTATGGCTATACGTGCATTTTTTAGCATCTATGGTCATAAATCCTGTCAAAACTTATAGTTTGTCATTGCACAAGGCCATGATTTTCCTAGACTGTTTATGAGGCTTGGTTGTGTTCTGATTGAAAATTTAGTCTGGAAAAACATGATTTATTTATTAGTTTGAATTGGCTTTGCATTTGTTTGGATTTATCTTCATCAAGAGTACTGAAACCTAAACTCTAAAAACGTTAGTGGCTACATATGACCAAAAGGGGACTAAAAAGAATAGCCAAATTCATCTAAGGTCAGCTTTGGCTGAGGAAGTTGGAACCTTAGTTTCTGACAGTCTAATAAACACCACATAGAAAACCAAAGAATGAACAACACGAACCCCCACCAAAAAACCGGGCGGGTCTCTGGTACTTCGAAAGTGTAAGCAGATCCTGCTCCACAGGTGACATTCGTCGCCTTGCTCATGGTTGGTTTTAATTTCGGTGATTAGTCTCATTTGGTGATTCCATAATCGAGATAAAGAGGACGGGATTGTGACTACGACAATTTGGGTATCTTCGTGGTCATTTTGTCTCTGGTGTAAAGTTGTCGCATTGGCAACCATACCACATCTCCATATCATTTTTTTTATATTCAAGTTCTAACATAGCAGGTTAAGGCTTAATCTGCCAGCCATAGTCAATAATTTGTTGATGTTAGACTGCTCGCTATAGTCAGTGATTTTTTTATATTACCCTGCCCGCCATAGTCATTAATTTTTTGATATTACCCTACATCTTAAATGCACAAATGCAGCATTATCGACATATTGCAAAATCCACTAAAATTGCTGCTACAGACCGTCTTGAACATGCAGTGAGGAAGAAGCCTTTGTTCCGTGTTAAAGACCTCCCTGTGAATTTCAGGCAAAGAACAGTAATAAGTGTACTGTAAGTGTTTTGGGTCATAAGTTAACTAACGATATCCTGTTTCCATAACCTTTTACCAATGAATTTGTGTGACTCATCAAGGCTTACATAATATAGAATACTTTACAAATGATACTGATTTCAGTGC